ATCTCTGAGGGTTTCCCAAATCCCAGAATCAAATGGTCTGGGTAAGATGCTTTAGAATAGCAGCACTTCTTAATGTCTGACTTCAGATTAAATCATTTAGAGGGATACTTTCACAAGCTTTGGTAATAATGTTTTTCATAGACACACCAACCTGAAAAATATGGGTATTAGACAAGGTTTGATAATAATATATGTCAGAGACACAGCGCTCTAAAAATATCGTTTTACACGACTAACAATGGGTTTTTTTCTCTGTTTGAACAATAACAAGGATGGACAATGGAGTTTTAAGGGTAGTGACGGAAGGACAGAGAACACAATATCAAGCACTGAATATTATAATAGAGGAATGATGTGCTGTGCAACCAATGCTGAAGGACGAGAGTGCTCCCAACTGTATGACTACGGTAACTGGATTTAAATGAACTAATAACAAATTTAATACATCCATAAATTATTACAGGAGTTAATTTGAGTAAAATTTGGTTCAAATACTTGAAGTGAAAGTAACAAAACTGAGATTCACTAACTAATCTCAGAGAAGCAAATCACAAATGTTGACCACGGTATATCTTTCTGACTTGAGGCCCTGATGTGTGTTTCAGACTTACACAGCAGTGTAATGACCAAAGATGAGGTATCTAATGTCACCCTGAGCGAAGGTCAGTCTCTGCTGCTTCGCTGCAGAGTTACAGGATTCAGTCTGAGATCACCTGTGTGGGAGAAAGGAGGAAAACACCTCCATGTCAGGACATTATCATGTAAACCAGAGAAGGAGGAGGCGGTACAGTAATGTCCTGTAATCAGGGAGAGTTTCCTTAAACTTTCTTGTTATGTTTGTCAGAAAACTGACCGACCTCTTTAATATTCCTCAGTCTGAGACACAAAGTACTTCATTGATAATCATCCTCACAAATAAAATCTGGGCCAAAGTGTATCATGTTATCTCTCCTGTAACATTTATCTCCAAAAAAAAAAAAGTCTGTACAACTAGATAAGTGTAGACAAAAAAACCTTTTCATGAGCAATTCAGTTGAAGTCCAGCACACTATGTGCTCAGTGCTGGGATATTGCTTGAATTACAAGATTTCAGTCAGGAAGCCTATTGGCAGCATCTATGCATCTTCCTATGTTACCTCAGAAAGATCTTCCTGATTGAGGATTCCAACAGGAAGCAAAACAGTTCCATTTAGGAGGGACAGAGAGGCACCCTGGGATAATTCCCCATCGCCCGGCAGACAGTTTTGTGTGATCAGGTAAGGCCAATATTTCAACCCTGTTTGCATTCATCTGTGGTCTTTTCCTGTGTTTCTAGTTGGAGGTGCTGTATTTCACCTGTGAAGGCAGTTTACCTATTCGATGTATGGAGTAAGTTACATTACCAGTACTTTCTTAACATGACCTCACTTTTATAGCTAAAGGTAAGTTGAGTCCTGTTATTCTGCTTGTGTGTGGATCACTTTGTGCAGATAAGGAGCATTCTTTCTCAAGCCAGTTTCGCTCTCCTGGCTCCCAAGTCTGTGCACCACCAGAGCTCAGTGAAAAGACTTCTTTTCTTAAGGACACATTTATGTTGAGTTTCCTCTTTTTCCCTGACCTTTTTTTTTCTTTTTAATAATAGTTTGAATAATTGTTTAAACTAAAGATTCAGTTTTCTGTCTCTCCAGCTGTTTTGCTGCTGTGTGCTGTTGGGCTGCTCTGCTCTGATGATGTAAAGACTCCAGTCTGTGTATCCAGTCATGAGGTAAGAGCTGTTTTAAATAAACACTGAATTCTTTGATAAGCCCCTGTTGAACAGTCATAACTCACATTGATATAGTATGGGATTGATCTAGTAATCAGTGATTATTTTACAGTTTCCTAATAAAGAGGAATTAAATGTTGGCTCTTGTTTTTCAGGCAGCATGTTTGCTACCAGCTGATTATCTGAATCCATCTGGTCCCATCAGTAAAGTTTTGGCTGTGGGTAAGTGTCAGAGGATTTTTGCTTTTAAAGGTTTTATTATTCATATAATAATCAGCTAAGAGTGTTTATATTTCTGTCTTGTACTCAAACAGCTGCATATTTTAACTGCTGGCTCTCTACTCTATAACGGAAACTGTTTGCCTTCTTATTAAATGTCAGCAGCAGGAAACCGCCACCCAAGAGTAAGAAACGACCTTGTGGAGGATACAAAGTTCTTGAGAAATCACACCTGCTTGCTTGACAAGATAAGCATGATATTTCCTTTTTTGTATGCTTCCTGCTGTGTATAAATAAAGGCAGCGAGCTGCTCCACAGGTGTGAATCTCTGTTGAGGTTTCACCCGTGCACGTTAAACTGCTGAAGTGTCTGAGTGTTATTTCATTACATCTGAGTGCTTGATAAAAGAATCTCTAACAGTGAGAAACTCATCATCTCCCTGGAGGGCCTCTCTGAATCTCTTGTCTGCCACTGGATCAGAGGAGAAGACCGAGTAATGACAGCGTAAGTGACCGTCTGTGTTTCTGTTTGGGTGCTTTATATTTCTATGTATTTAAACTGAGATGTTTCCTTTAACCTCAGCAGAAATGGGAGTCAGTCCATGGTCACATCACAGCTTTCTGAGACAGATTCAGGGGAGTACACTCTGACCTGTGAATCCAACAATGTCACCATGTTCTCCACGACTGTGATTCTTCATGTAATGAGTGAGTAACAGCTTCTCACCTTATTTCTTCTACAATACTCAAACAAACTCTGTTTGATGATCAATGAGTGACAATACAATTAATTTAACTGTTTTCTTTGATGTTGTTTAGAACGTCCAACAAAACCACAGCTGATGCTTGATGGTGTTGACGTGTCTGATACTTCTCCCCGTTTTAAGTGTGTCTCTGTGGGTTTCCCAAATCCCACAATTACCTGGTCTGGGTAAGATGTTGTCTTTTACATTTGTATGCAAACTTTAGAATAGCAACACTTCTTCTGTCTCATTTTAGACTGGATCATTTAGAGGGACACTTTGTTGGGATCTGTGGTTAGGATAGGGTATCAGACAGCACAAGAAAACAGCAGGTAAGTTGGGGGAGGGGGGTTTCTCATGGAAAAGTGGAACATTCACATAAGCAAAGGAGCCAGGCTTCACTGTTTGTAGTTCAACTATCCAGCAAAAGAGTCTGCCACTATCTTACGTACGGCTACAAATGAGGATATCAGGAACATGTATGTGATTTTTCGCACAGAGGGCAGCAACACGAGACGAGTACCACACCTGCAAAAAAAAACACCACCACCCCCAAACCCAACTCCCACCACCACACACATACAGATAGTTAAGAAGAGAGAGTGAGTGTGCAAGAAGAAAGAAAGTGGTCAAGACTGAGGGACTATGACAGTTTCCCACCACTAATAATGTGATTTTTCTCTGTTTGAACAGAAACAAGAATAGTGATGAGGCAAAGATGTTTAAGGAAAGTGACGGAAGGAAAGAGAGCAAAGTATCAAGCACTGAATATTATAATACAGGAATGATGTGCTGTGCAACCAATACTGAAGGACAAGAGTGCTCCCAACTGTATGACTATGGTAACTGGTTAGAAATTAATTAATAAGATGTTAAATAACTCCACAAAGAACGTGTCCATATATTGTTACAGGAGTTAATTTGAGTAAAATTTGGTTCAAATAACTTCACTTCAAGAAGATCCAGAGATTCACTAACTAATCTCCGAAAAGCAAATATTTCTTACTTGAGGCCCTGATGTGTGTTTCAGACTTACAGAGCAGCGTAATGAACAAAGATGAGGTATCTACTGTCACCCTGAGCGAAGGTCAGTCTCTGCTGCTTCGCTGCAGAGTTACAGGATACAGTCTGAGATCACCTGTGTGGGAGAAAGGAGGAAAACAGCTCAATGCCAGGACATTTTCATGTACACCAGAGAAGAAGGAGGAGGTACAGTAATGTCCTGTAATCAGGGAGAGTTTCCTTAAACTTTCTTGTTATGTTTGTCTGAAAACTGACCGACCTTTTTAATATTCCTCAGTCTGAGACACAAAGTACTTCACTGATAATCATCCTGCAAATGATCATTATTATGGGGTTTTTCTTCCAGATGTGCATTAAAAATGACTCATATTTCGGTGTTCAGATGGCCTACCTGTCCATCAGATCAGTGAGAGAGGAGCACAACGGCACATACACCTGCACGAGTGCAAATAAAAACTCAAAGTCTGTTCATGTTCATGTCTCAGGTCAGTAGACTTCATTTCATGTCATTATTATTTGAAACTGTTCCCACTGAATAAATCTGGTTTATTCTTGTGTTTCCTCAGATGAAGGTTTCCTCTTTGCACAGCTGGATGAGACCAAGATCATATCAGCTCAGGAGGCATCCAGCACCTGCTTGCAGGCCACTGTTTCCTACCATCCTGTTCTCCAGTACTGTTCCTGGGAGACTCCTGACAAAAACAGGACTAAATGTGTCAGGGAGACATGGGTAACACAGCACAGGTACTTCAATGAAGCAAACTGTCATCATGTAGAAGTGTAAAATTATCCATTCATTCACGTTTTTCATGAGCAGTGTAATCATGTGATATGAGGACTGTAATGAACTGTTTCTCAGGACTGTGAAGCTTTGTGATCCACTCATATCAGGAGATTATAAATTACACCTGGAGGCTGGAGGACAAAAGGAAACAAAGACCATATCAGTGTGTGTTGTAGGTGGGTTAATGTAACCTTTGTTACAGTTTTATTATTACTTAAATTTAATTATCATTTATATTTAAAATGTGAGAATGTTTGAGATCATCTGATTTTTGTTCCAGATGAACCAAAGTTCAACTTCTTGTTAAATAAGGATGATGGTACCCTCAACCTTGAGACTGTCAGTCCTGTGCCAGCAAACTATACCTGGATGTTTTGCTCTAAGTTCAATGACAGGTATGATCACCTGCACAGCCGTTCAGCTCAGAGAGCATTTTAGCTCTGATTATTTAAACTCCTTTTATTTTGTTTCACTGCAGCTGTGAAACAGACTCATCCTGGGATGAGGTCCCAAATGCATTTAAAGCAGACTCTGATGTTTCCTGCAACAAGCCGATCAAGAGCTCAGTGAGACGAGAGCTCGGGGATGGACATCATTTAAAGTTTTGTCTGACAAACTCAGTTGGCTCCTGGTGCCAAAGTTACCACATAATCATCCCACCTACAGTCCAGTACTCTATAGGTAATAAAGAGTATTTGCATCAGAAAATATTTGATGAAATTCATTTAAAGCTGTCATGCTCACATTGTCGTTTGTAGGTAAACAACCTCAGGATATCATATTCCTGCTGAAAGCAGGCAATATAACTCTCTTTCTCGTTCTGGTAGTAGTCATCACAGTGCTCATATTCTTCATCAAAAAGAAGGTAAATATATTCAGCTTTTTTAACAAACACAAATAGAAGAGGGCACCAAGTCATTTGTCTTTGCAATATAAACCTCAGTATCAGCCTTCGAGGGAGATTAATTGAATCTTTCATGGTTTTTGTTTGTTTCATAAGAGTTTGGTATCTCTGTCACAGTAATGTATTTGTGTAGCACTTTTTAAAACACAGTTATAAAGTGTTTCGCACTCAGGATAAAGCTGTCATATCCAACAATGGTCATGTTTTCAGAAGACTGTGTTCAGTTTTTAAAAGGTTTATTTTACAGAATTTCAGATCAACGGGGGAGAGTCTGGAGCTACAAGAGTCTCGGGTGAGTGTGTGTTCACCGAACGAGAACGGTCTTCTGCTAGAGAAAAACAGGTGAGAGATATTTTATTGGGATGAGGATTTGAGGTTTTACTTGAATATTTTTTCCAGAGTAGCTGGAGGAGTAAGTAGAAGGCCAGAGTCTAAGGATTCACTGGACCTGGTAGAGGACCCGAGCTTGAAGGATAAACCGCCCGCAGGGGTGTGCTGGGTGTTTTTATATATAAAAACACCCAGCACGCCCCTGCGGGCGGTTTATCCTTCAAGCTCGGGTCCTCTACCAGAGGCCTGGGAGCTTGAGGGTCCTGCGCAGTATCTTAGCTGTTCCCAGGACTGCACTCTTCTGGACAGAGATCTCCGATGTTATTCCCGGGATCTGCTGGAGCCACTCGCCTAGCTTGGGAGTCACCGCACCTAGTGCTCCGATTACCACGGGGACCACTGTTACCTTCACCCTCCACATCCTCTCGAGCTCTTCTCTGAGCCCTTGGTATTTCTCCAGCTTCTCGTGTTCCTTCTTCCTGATATTGCTGTCATTCGGAACCGCTACATCGATCACTACGGCCGTCTTCTTCTGTTTGTCTACCACCACTATGTCCGGTTGGTTAGCCACCACCATTTTGTCCGTCTGTATCTGGAAGTCCCACAGGATCTTAGCTCGGTCATTCTCCACCACCCTTGGGGACGTCTCCCATTTTGACCTCGGGACTTCTAGATTATACTCGGCACAGATGTTCCTGTACACTATGCCGGCCACTTGGTTATGGCGTTCCATGTATGCCTTGCCTGCTAGCATCTTGCACCCTGCTGTTATGTGCTGGATTGTCTCTGGGGCATCTTTACACAGCCTGCACCTGGGGTCTTGCCTGGTGTGATAGACCCCAGCCTCTATGGATCTTGTCCTCAGAGCTTGTTCTTGTGCTGCCATGATTAGTGCCTCTGTGCTGTCTTTCAGTCCAGCTTTGTCCAGCCACTGGTAGGATTTCTGGATATCAGCCACCTCCTCTATCTGCCGGTGGTACATACCGTGCAGGGGCCTGTCCTTCCATGATGGTTCCTCGTCTCCCTCCTCTTTCTTGGGTTTCTGCTGCCTGAGGTATTCACTGAGCACTCGGTCAGTTGGGGCCATCTTCCCAATGTATTCTTGGATGTTCGTTGTCTCATCCTGGACTGTGGTGCTGACACTCACCAGTCCCCGGCCCCCTTCCTTCCGCTTAGCGTACAGCCTCAGGGTGCTGGACTTGGGGTGAAACCCTCCATGCATGGTAAGGAGCTTTCTTGGGGTGGCTGTAGCTCAGGTGGCAGAGCAGGTCAGCCACTAATCAGAAGGTCGGTGGTTCGATCCCAGGCTGCATCCTGGCTGCATGCCAAATGTCCTTGGGCAAGATACTAACCCCGTGTTTGCCTACTGGTGGTGGTCAGAGGGCCCGGTGGCGCCTGTGTCCGGCAGCCTCGCCTCTGTCAGTGCGCCCCAGGGCAGCTGTGGCTACAATGTAGCTTGCTATCGCCAGTGTGTGAATGTGTGTGTGAATGGGTGAATGACTGAATGTAGTGTAAAGCGCTTTGGGGTCCTATGGACTAGAAAAGCGCTATACAAATGCAGGCCATTTACCATTCTTGTCTTTATGTCAGTGGCTTCTATCTCCTCCTTTGGCCAGCCTATTACCCCAGCAGGGTACCTGATCACGGGCAGGGCGTACGTGTTGATGGCCCGGATCTTGTTCTTACCATTCAGCTGACTCCTCAGGACTTGCCTGACCCTCTGCAGGTACTTGGTGGTTGCAGCTTTTCTAGCGGCCTCTTCATGGTTCCCATTCGCCTGCGGGATCCCCAAGTACTTGTAACTGTCCTCTATGTCTGCAATGTTGCCTTCTGGTAGTTCAATCCCCTCAGTTCTGACTACCTTCCCTCTCTTTGTTACCATCCGGCTACACTTCTCCAGTCCGAACGACATTCCAATGTCATTGCTGTATAGCCTGGTAGTGTGGATCAGTGAATCGATGTCTCGTTCACTCTTGGCATACAGCTTGATGTCATCCATGTACAGGAGGTGGCTGACAACTGCTTCGTTCTGTAGTCTGTATCCGTAGCCAGTCTTGTTAATGATCTCACTGAGGGGGTTCAGGCCTATGCAGAACAGCAGTGGAGACAGAGCATCTCCTTGGTAGATCCCGCACTTGATGGTGACTTGTGCTATGGGCTTGGAGTTGGCCTCTAGTGTTGTACGCCACATCCCCATTGAGTTCCTGATGAAGGCTCTTAGGGTCCCATTGATCTTGTACAATTCTAGGCATTCCAGTATCCAGCTCTGAGGCATTGAGTCATAGGCCTTCTTGTAATCAATCCAGGCAGTGCACAGGTTGGTCAGTCTGGTCTTGCAGTCTCGGCTGACTGTTCTGTCTACCAGTAGCTGGTGTTTTGCGCCTCTGGTATTCTTGCCAATTCCTTTCTGTGTCCCGCTCATGTATTGACCCATGTGCCTGTTCATCTTAGCCGATGTGATGCCTGACAGGAGCTTCCATGTAGTACTGAGGCAGGTTATTGGTCGGTAGTTGGAGGGGACCGGTCCCTTCTTGGGGTCCTTGGGGATCAGGACCGTCCGGCCTTCAGTTAGCCATTCCGGGTGTCTCTCGTTAACTAGCAGCTGGTTCATTTGTGCTGCCAGACGCTCGTGGAGTGCAGTCAGCTTCTTCAGCCAGTAGGCGTGAACCATGTCGGGCCCTGGTGCTGTCCAACTCTTCATACTGGAGACCCTTTCTTGGATATCTGCCACTGTGATGGTTACTGGACCCTATATATATATATATATATATATATATATATATATATATATATATATAATATACATATATATATATATATATATAAGCATTATACCTGAAGTACAATATGTTTTATTCATTAAAAGAAAAGCTTGTAATCATATATTTGTGTTAATCATGTGTATGTGTCACGGGGTGGAGAGGGACAAGTTACCTAAGATATTTTTATTGTGCATGTTTGGTTGTGTTTTACTTTCTTTAATATTGTATAGTGTTGTATTCTTATGGGTTTTATTGCCTGTTTTATGGTATTCATCGGTGACTTGTCCTGGAAAGTCTCCGCCCCTCCTTGATTATGAACCCAACACACCTGTGAGGTCCCGGAGGCCAATAAGAGTGATGGGAGACGAGAGAGAAGAGACTGATGGTGGAGTGAGGACTGGGAGAGTGAACGGTATCAGGCGGTGGCGGCGGCCACAAGCCCAGACGGGCTGGTGCCGGTTGGTTTGCCACAGGAAAGCGGTGGCAGAGTTGAGAGCTCTGCCCATTCGGGAAACCGGAACAGAAACATTGATAGGGCGGCGAGACGCCGCCGGGTTTTCCCTTCTAAGGCGGCTAGAGTTGGCTAATGCAGGCACCAGCGCGGAGAGCACCAGCAGGAGGACCAGCGCGCAGAGGCACCAGCGCGCAGAGAGCGACAGTACCAGCGCAGAGAGCGACAGTACCAGCGCGGAGAGCGGAGACAGCACCAGCGGAGGCTACGAGACGGCTGTGCCGATTTCCAGTTTTAAAGAAGCGGCGGGCGGAGTTGAGAGCTCTGCCCACCCGGGGTAAGTCTCTGACTTATCCCTTTTTTATGAAGTAAACCTGTCTGGAAAGAATAGTGACTGCCGCTTCCTCTCCTTCTTCAGCATATCAGGACGTGAGTGCGAGAGGGAGGCGAGGACTCCGCTGGTTCCTTTGGTTATACCACTTGCTGGATTTCTTAGCTCCCTGGGACTTTTAGGTCGTGGCGCAGGCCACTGGACTTTTTAATATTGTGTTTTATTGACTTTTATTGTGCTACCCCTTGGCCAAGGTTGTTTTAATTCATTTTGCATTTTTAACTATTTAAATATAATAAATTATATTTTTAATCATACAGTTTTAAATCGTGGGCTTTCCCTTGGCGGCTCCACTGCTCACTGGAGGAAGGTTTCCTTCCTTCGCACAAAACCACTGTGGAAGTAAAACCAGCCTTCCGGTGTTCCAGATCTACTGGCGTTTAGATCAACTGGCGTTGGTCGAACAGATGTGTGGCATTCTTGCGTTTCAGGAGCTACTACCGACAAACCAGCAAAAGAACGCCAAATGTGTCACCTGTGACACTTGTGAGGTTGTCTCAAACACACTCCGTCAGTCTTGATGCTGTTGAACAACAAAATGTTTAAAATGTGGCGAGTTTACCTGGTGATATCCTCATGCGCAACGCGATCGCGAAAACAGCAAACAAGTAATACCACGCCGATGTTGTTCACAGGACAGCAAGAGTAAACGATCGGGAGACTCTTGTCGTCGTTATCGTTCCCCTTGCACGGTTTATTTCTCCGAATTCAAGGTTTTTGCTTCACAACTAAAGCGAGCAGTTTACTTTGTGCACTAACATGGAGTCGAGTCAACCAGCGCCACCTCTGGCCAAGTGCCACAGCCTACAGCCAGATCAACTTGTGACACACATCTGCAGCACGTTTGATTTCGTTTCATGCACAACACATTTGTACCTTTCAATTGTGTCTGTTTGTCCCTAACCCTAATGATATCATATATTCCTTATTGGCCTACATTTGTACAAAATTCCAAATTATATACACAAAGTCATAGAAATCACCACTCCAATTGGTCATCATGATTTTGATATTCTTTTTCCATAACAATGAAATACGCCTTGGACAAATATGACACGTCAATATTTCATTAGTGTTGTCACATCACATCCTGTAAGCATCGTTTGTCTGTGTCCTTTCTCTGGAAATTAATATTTCCAGCCAATATAGGCAATCCATCAACATGGCTGGAGAGTTGGTAGTTATATACAGTCGGTATAAGTGTGGTTAATCCAATGAAGATTTGTAAGGAGATGGCAGTTACTTTGAATTCACAGCAGTTACACAGTGATTAGTAATAAACAGCCAGTGAGAGTGAGTGGATTTAAGAAAGTCAGTGACTCGGGTGTGTCGCTTGGTTTGTCATCTGTTTGTGAGACTGGAGGAGACGTAGAAATCTGTTTTAAATCTTAGTTAGGAAGATTCCTGTTTGAAAACAAGCACTTTTTGTGAGAAATGCAAGAAGTACATCTGCAGAAAGCACACAGTTACATTCTGTCCATCATGTGGACAAAATCGAAAATGTTGAGCATTGAAAAACTGAGAACGCTGGGCAAGTTCAACAGAAATGTGTTTGTAAGAACGAAAAACCAAATTGTTCCTAAAATAGTTATGGAAAGTCACTGTATGTCTGTGTTCTACATGTTAATCTGATGGGAAATAAAGTTGCTATTGTTTTATTGCAGTTTTTGGATAATTCTGAGTGGATTTACACAGTACGGATCTAAATGACCCGCAACAAAATCAATGTCACTTTTTTGTTTTTCAACATAATACAAGGGTTAATTTCCAAAACTTCCATATGATCTTCAATTTGTAGCAGATCCACTATCACACAGCAGCTGGAGCAGTTTCAAATGGAGCTCAGTCCACTACTACCATAGCCTACTACTAGATTAACTTGTGACACATCTGCACCTGCTGCTATGATCACATTGAGTAGAGGCTGAGTGGCTGCACTTACCCCTGGTACATCCAAATCTACCCACAAACATGTTGAAAGATGCAATGCCAGCAATGTGGATTGTCAACACTGAAAACAATCAGTAAGCAAAGACAACAGGGATCACTTTTTTCTGTTTATTTAGCATGCGCAACATTTGTAGTCGCCTTCTGCACAGGGGAAGTCCACACACACTGTGTGGTACCACTTTCCACAGAAGGTGCATTCAATCTGCAAGATTGAATGAGATTGTCAGAGTCATTGTCTGACTGTTTATTACTAATCGCCTGCTGTACATTCACAGTAACTGCCATCTCCTTACAAATGTTTATTAGTTTAACCACACTTATACAGACTGTATATAACAACCAACTCTAAAATGTTTGTTCGCAGAGTAAAGACACAGACAGACTACACTAACGACATGTGATGTTACAACACTAGTGAAATATTAGTGTCATTTCATTCATTTCAAAGGTTTATTTGCATGACGCACAAACAGACACAATTGAAAGGTACAAATGTGTTGTGCATGAAACGAAATCAAACGTGCTGCAGATGTGTGTCACAGGTTGATCTGGCTGTAGGCTGTGGCACTTGGCCAGAGGTGGCGCTGGTTGACTCGACTCCATGTTAGTGCACAAAGTAAACTGCTCGCTTTAGTTGTGAAGCAAAAACGCTGAAACCGGAGAAATAAACCGTGCAAGGGGAACGATAACGACGACTAGGGTCTCCCGATCGTTTACTCTTGCTGTCCTGTGAACAACATCGGCGTGGTATTACTTGTTTGCTGTTTTCGCGATCGCGTTGCGCATGAGGATATCACCAGGTAAACTCGCCACATTTTTAAACATTTTGTTGTTCAACAGCATCAAGACTGACGGAGTGTGTTTGAGACAACCTCACAAGTGTCACAGATGACACATTTGGCGTTCTTTTGCTGGTTTGTCGGTAGTAGCTCCTGAAACGCAAGAATGCCACATCTGTTCGACCAACGCCAGTTGATCTAAACGCCAGTAGATCTGGAACACCGGCTCCGTTACATATGTGTCTATTTTATTTTGGTCCCAAGGGAAAAGCAATCTAACTTTTATGAGAAGGTAAGAAGTGACTTTTATTCAAGTCAAAGTACTTCGCATCAAAATGTGTGAAACATGATGTCGTTTACATGTGAAGCCACTCGTCGATTTCTACAAAAAGATTGAGAAAAACAAATAACAGAGAGCGAAACTGTACCATTTCCATGTAGGAGGGGCAGTGAGGCAGACTTCTCCAGATTAGGCAGCTTTGGGTGAGCAGATACTTTCAACGTTTCAACCTTGTTTGTACTCATCTTTGCTCTTTTCCTGTGTTTCTAGTTAGAGATGCTGTATTCCGTCTGTGAAGCTAGTTTATCTATGTATGGAGAAAGCGTCCCGTTATGATCCAGCTGTGATTAATTACTTGTGTTTGTTTTTCCTTTGATATTATTAGGATATTATTAACTGTTTTGTCTTGTTCGTGAATATTGCTGGTGCTCTGTGAGTGTGCGAGGACCCCTCTCAAATCCTGCCCGTCTGGTGCGCAATATCCTCGCTTCTTGTCTTGTTTTTCCACCATCATAGAGACTAGCCCTTTTCATTTCCTTGGGATGAAATTCTCATATAGGTAGCGCTGTTGCAGCAACAAATTTTCCTTTCAGAATACGAGAAAGAAAACTTGGAGGCAGAGAAACATGATTGCAGGTGAGTGAGAGTTATTCATTCCTGCACAACAACAATCGAAGGTAATCACAGACTTGCAATCAAGGTTTGTGTAGTTGGCCAGAGCTAAATTTTGAGTTATGAAGCATTTTGTTTATGACACAGTTGTAGTTCATAAATACAGTCTGACTTAGAAAAGCAATCATTTCTTCTTAATGATGCATTTATGTTCCTTTTTTTTTGGTTTTGTTTTTTCCCACTGGTGTATATACATTTGTTTTGATTTTCAGTAATATTTAAACTAAAGATTCAGTTTTCTATGTCTCCAGCTGTTCTGCTGCTGTGTGCTGTCGGAGTGCTCTGCTCTGATGATGTAAAGACTCCAGTCTGTGTACCCAGTCATGAGGTAAGAGCTGTTTTAACTAAACTCTGATCAAATAACTGAAAGTGATACTGACAATGAAGTCTTAAAGCAGGGAATAGTTCTGAGATGACATAAAATGAACTATTATTCTTTAATAAACCCCTCTTGACCAGTCTGAAATATGCATTAATTGCACATATACATATCTGGGTAAACAAGACACCTATAGTCTAGATAAGACAGAAGTGAACACCCATTTTCATGCTGTGCATCGACTCTTTAATGTTTGTGTAGCTCCAGCTTACCTTCGCAAATGGCAGTGTGTGTGTTATGGTGTACAGGGCAGCAAAAAGCACACAGCAACAGAGAGGGAAATAGTGCTAGCTGCTCTTTCTGTAATTTCCTGTAATCACTTTGTGTCATTCTAATACATTTTGAAGAGGTTTTAGTACAAGTTTTGTTCAGGTACAAAATATAAGCTTCGTTTGTTTTGTTTTTTAAAGGAAACATTTAATCAGGAGATCAACTTTTTTTATGTGTTTTCGGGAAAATCTAATTCAGATCTTGCCAGTGGTGATGATTTTACTGCTGCTAAATAAAGGAGGATTAAATGGTGGCTCTTGTTTTTCAGGCAGCATGTTTGACACCAGCTGATTATCTGAATCCATCTGGTCCCATCACCAAAGTGTTAGCAGTGGGTATGAAACTCATCATCTCCCTGGAGGGCCTCTCTGGATCTCTTGTCTGCCACTGGATCAGAGGAGAAGACCGAGTAATGACAGCGTAAGTGACCGTCTGTGTTTCTGTTTGGGTGCTTTATATTTCTATGTATTTAAACTGAGATGTTTCCTTTAACCTCAGCAGAAATGGGAGTCAGTCCATGGTCACATCACAGCTTTCTGAGACAGATTCAGGGGAGTACACTCTGACCTGTAAAGCCAACAATGTCACCATGTTCTCCACGACTGTGATTCTTCATGTAATGAGTGAGTAACAGCTTCTCACCTTATTTCTTCTACAATACTCACACAATCTCTGTTTGATGATCGATGAGTGATAATACAATTAATTTAACTGTTTTCTTTGATGTTGTTTAGAACGTCCAACAAAACCACACCTGATGCTCGATGGTGTTGACGTGTCTGATACTTCTCCCCTTTTTAAGTGCGTCTCTGAGGGTTTCCCCAAACCCACAATCAAATGGTCTGGGTAAGATGTTGTCCTTTACATTTGTATGCAAACTTCAGAATAGCAGCACTTCTTAATGTCTGATTTTAGACTGAATCATTTAGAGAGATGCTTTATTTTGATTTTAGATAGGTATCAGACAAGCTTTGGTAATAATGTTTTTCATAGACACAGCTTTCTGAAAAATATCAAATATCAAAATGTTTTTTTTTCTCTCTGTTTGACCAGTAACAAGGATGGACAACAGAGTTTAAAGGGAAGCGACAGAAAGACAGAGCGCACAATATCAAGCACTGAATATTATAATAGAGGAATGATGTGCTGTGCAACCAATGCTGAAGGACAAGAGTGCTCCCAACTGTATGACTACGGTAACTGGATTTAAATTAATTCATAACAAATTTAATACATCCATAATGAATTTATCCATAAGTTCTTTCTTCAAATACATATAGTGAAAGTGAAAAAACAATGTTTACCCAGAGATTCACTAACTAATCACAGAGAAGCAAATCGCAAATGTTGACCATGGTATATGTTTCTTACTTGAGGCACTGATGTGTGTTTCAGACTTACAGAGCAGTGTAATGAACAAAGATGAGGTTTCTACTGTCACCCTGAGCGAAGGTCAGTCTCTGCTGCTTCGCTGCAGAGTAAAGGGATACAGTCTGAGATCACCTGTGTGGGAGAAAGGAGGAAAACAGCTCAATGCCAGGACACTGTCACGTAAACCAGAGAAGGAGGAGGAGGTACAGTAATGTCCTGTAATCAGGGAGAGTTTCCTTAAACTTTCTTGTTATGTTTGTCTGAAAACTGACCGACCTCTTTAATATTCCTCAGTCTGAGACACAAAGTACTTCACTGATAATCATCCTGCAAATGATCATTATTATGGGGTTTTTCTTCCAGATGTGCATTAAAAATGACTCACATTTCGGTGTTCAGATGGCCTACCTGTCCATCAGATCAGTGAGAGAGGAGCACAGCGGCACATACACCTGCACGAGTGCAAATAAAAACTCAAAGTCTGTTCATGTTCATGTCTCAGGTCAGTAGACTTCATTTCATGTCATTATTATTTGAAACTGTTCCCACTGAATAAATCTGGTTTATTCTTGTGTTTCCTCAGATGAAGGTTTCCTCTCTGCACAGCTGGATGAGACCAAGATCATATCAGCTCAGGAGGCATCCAGCACCTGCTTGCAGGCCACTGTTTCCTACCATCCTGTTCTCCAGTACTGTTCCTGGGAGACTCCTGACAAAAACAGGACTAAATGTGTCAGGGAGACATGGGTAACACAGCACAGGTACTTCAATGACGCAAACTGTCATCATGTAGAAGTGTAAAATTATCCATTCATTCACGTTTTTCATGATCAGTGTAATCATGTGATATGAGGACTGTAATGAACTGTTTCTCAGGACTGTGAAGCTTTGTGATCCACTCATATCAGGAGATTATAAGTTACACCTGGAGGCTGGAGGACAAAAGGAAACAAAGACCATATCAGTGTGTGTTGTAGGTGGGTTAATGTAACCTTTGTTACAGTTGTATTATTACTTAAATTTAATTTTATATTTAAAATGTGAGATTGTTTGAGATCATCTTATTTTTGTTCCAGATGAACCAAAGTTCAACTTCTTGTTTAATAAGGATGATGGTACCCTCAACCTTGAGACTGTCAGTCCTGTGCCAGCAAACTATACCTGGATGTTTCGCTCTGAGTCCAATGACAGGTATGATCACCTGCACAGCCGTTCAGCTCAGAGAGCATTTTAGCTCTGATTATTTAAACTCCTTTTACTTTGTTTCACAGCTGCAGTGAAAGTGACTCATCCTGGGATGAGGTCCCAAATGCATTTCAAATAGATTCTGATGTTTCCTGCAACAAGACGATCAAGAGCTTAGTGAGCAAAGACGTGTTAAAAGGAGACCAATTCAGGTTTTGTCTGACAAACTCAGTTGGCTCCTGGTGCAAAACCCATTACATGATCATCCCACCTACACCTCAGCCCTCTATTGGTAATAACAAGTCTCATGAATATATTTACTGAAAATATTTGATGGAGAAAAAAAATCTAAACGTTGTCATGCTCACATTGTTTTGTTTTGTTTTTTAGGTAATCCACCTGAGGAGAACTCCTTCCTGCTGACAGTATGTTTGGTTCTGGTTCTGCAAAACCCATTACCCAGTATTCTCTAAAGGTACAAAGAACTTTTTATTTGCATTACTTTTTAATAAAATGTCAATTATTAATTAATCAATTCTTATTATTGTCCTTGTATTTCTATATTATAGATGGTGTACCTACTTATAACAACATGATGGTGCTGAAAGTAGGCAGTTTGCTTCTGCTTCTGGCTTGGCTGTAGTCAATAAAGAGCTCATGTACCTCATCAAAAATAAAGTATATATTTGGTCTTTTTATAAACATCTTTTTATGAACAAAATAAAGAGCATAGCTCATCATCACTGTTTGACCAGCTTGTAGACTGAGGGCAGAGGGTCGGCCTGTTCACCTCCACAACTGGATGAATAACCATTATCACTCAGTCTCACTCTCTTTCTTTTTTTCAGCTTGGTTATAAAGATATAACCACCAGAATTTCAGCGACTGCCATGATCCACTGACCTCTGTGGACATTTCTGAACGATGTCTGTGTAGTCAGACATTTCAATATCTGAGAAGGATCTTCTGTAACCATCAGATACAGTTACCACCCATATATCATTTTATCCATACAGCATGTTACTTGATAGTCTTCTCACAATCATTTAGAGTAAAATCGAGTGTCTTTATCTTTAAATCAAATATAGTGAGCATTTTATACTTATTGCTGGAACTGGATAAATCATATTTAACCTAACACTTTTCATTATCTACCACAGTTTAACTATATACTACAGCTTAAGCAAACTGTACAAAATAAAGAAGGTCTAAATGTGAAAGATGCCAAGAAACTCAGAAATTTACAAGGAGAGCATTTAAATTCCAAAAAGACATGTCGTAACATATCAAGAGATTTATACCCTGAACTGTCTTGTGATGACTTGATAGTGCTAATCACTGCACCACCATGCAGCCTTGTGTAGTACTCATGCACCATCATATAAGTATACTTGGGCTGTAGAAACCGCATCTTGTATGTCATTCTTGTGCTCAATAAGCTCCAGTCAGGAAAAGTTACAGGCACACCCTGTCAAGCCACAAAATTCCTCTCGTGTATCAGAACTGCACTCATTTCTGTGTATTTACAGCTACTCTTCAAAAGTTGATTCTGTTCATCTGGACGTAGCGTTTTGTGGGAGAAACGTTTCGTCACTCATCCAAGTGACTTCTTCAGTCTCAGCTGACTGCAGGTTTCCCCAAATCTTATAAACAGCACATTTGCATAATGATTGAAACCAGCCCACTGAAGGAACAATGGGCTGGGAGGTCAGTTCCTTAGTCTTAATTATGCAAATTCTCATGACCATTGATCAACAACCACTGATCAAAGCCCACTGATCAATGGCCATGAGTACCATTCACAGAGAGTTGGGGAATGGCTGCAATCCCAGCATTGTAAGATGGCGAAAGATGTACCCTTAGGCCCCCTCCTCAATTCAGAGATGGTCTTTCCCTTTTCACGTAAATGGCTTCCTTGACTCCGCGCTCAAACCAGCGTTCCTCCCTGTCCAGGATGTGTACATCCTCATCCTTAAGAGTGTCCACTGGCCTTGTTATGGTTCAAAATATTGGGGATGGAGACAAGAGAAAAACCACAATAACAACACTGGTCCGGCCGGGTTAAGTCAAACGATGATTTTAATAGTCACACGCGTGGGAGATGGACACTGTATGCAGACAGCCTCAGATCTCAAAATGGTGGAGCATTGCTCAAACTCTTATAGCCTCTGGTGCCTCCACCTTATCATAAAAAGCCTAAACATTCACATGCTTTCTCTCACACAGCGCCTAAGCTACGACCTTGGCTCCCTGTTTATCTGCTCCTGCTGAGATTGGGCAGAAAACTCCAGTATATTCTGTTCTCTTCTAATCAGACAAATAAGGCGATGACTTTCTGCAAACAGTATTTTCTTATAACTCAGCAGTATAATGCATCATAAAACAATATCATTCATCCACAATAAATCAGCAGTCTAATGTAATGCAAATCAGTTTAACTAATGCAATAGTTATCAGCTTCTTCTAATTCAGGAGAATAATGCAAACTAAAACTACATAATAATTCACAATCTTTAGTTAGGGGTATAACATGGCATAAAATAATATTATAATCTAACAGCCTGTAGGTGTAAATAGACTGCAGAGTCCTGGCCTGACGAAGTAGCTCTTCTGTGTTGTGCCATCCGCTTTGCCACAGGTTGTTTGGTTTCCCCGATGTATAAATCCTGGCAATCCTCCTGGTACTTAACAGCGCACACTATGTTACTCTGTTTGTGTCGGGGGACCCGATCCTTGGGGTGGACCAATTTTTGGCGCAGCGTGTTTTGGGGTTTAAAAGCCACAGAAAAAATGCGTCTCAACTGCTCCGATACTCCTGACACATACGGGATCTCTACAGGTTTTCGCTTGGGCAGCGGTTGTCCTTCTCTCCTGGATCAGCTGGAGCTTTCTTTAGGTGCCTTTCCAGCTTTGACAAAAGTCCAGCTGGGATAACCACATTTACTCAGGGCCTTCTTGATGTGCTGTTCTTCTGCCTCCCTGGCCGCTGTGTGTGTAGGGATCATGTTCGCTCTGTTTTGTAGCGTCCTGATGACGCCCAGTTTGTGCTCCATGGATGATGAGAGTCAACCTTAAATACTGATCCGTATGCGTAGGTTTACGGTACACATCAGCTTTTAGATGTCCCCCATTAGTCATGGAAATCTCACAGTCTAAGAAGGCTAACCTGCCACTTATTATATCCTCCCTTGTGAATTTGATGTGTCGGTCCACCGAGTTAATGTGACCCCTGAGATTTGATTTTCACCCAGGTTTCATCCACATATCTGAACCAATGGATTGGTGGTGTTCCAGGGTAGGATAGCAAAGCCCTCTTTTTCCACTTCTTCCATGGACGAAACGTTTCTCCCACAAAAAGCTACGTTCAGATAAACAGAATCAAGTTTTGGAGATTTACTTACCTGGATGATTGAGCATGCATCAAGACATTTACAGCTACTCTGACAGCTTTGTGAAGAGATTTCTACACATGCTGGTGGAGTTTGGTTGCAGTTATTAAGTCAAAGAGGGGGTCGAGACAGGTTCTGAGTGCTACTTGAAAAACTCAGTGTAAATGTTTTGAGGCCTCCAAGGCAATGCTTCCCCTGCCTCCTCATTTGATCTGTAGCATTAAGCTGTTCAACCATTACTCATTGTAAGATCAACTCTTCCTGTATAAATGCAGTAACCGCAAATGTCACTGCCCCCAGTGTCCAAATGTGCAACAACACAAAACAAAAACAATAAATGGCTCTTACACCCATGGCTGCTGTATTATGCTTTTTTTGGTTTCATGGTGGCCACGTTGTTATCCTGTACAAGCCAGACCTGCTCTGAGCAAATTGTCAGTGCAGGGAAGCCCCCAACTTCTTCGTTGCCATAACAGTGATGTTGTTTTCTTCTTGCTCCTGGCAATGAGCATTGAAAGTTTAAAGTGAATGAAAAAAAGAGAGAGAGAGAGAAGCTATGTGACCACAGATTTTTATCCTCATGCTCAAAATATTTCCACCCACAGAAAGTCTGCTTATCATGAAACCAGTCTCTCCTTTACTCACAAATGAAATGTACGCCTGACTGTATAATACTTTCTCTGCTATAACATTGTATCTAAAACAAACAAATAAATAAATCAACGTCTGTGCACACCTAAATGAGTCTGCTCTTTTCCTGTGTTTCTAGTTAGAGGTGCTGTATTCCATCTGTAAAGCCTCTCTTAGATGTATGGAGTAAGCATGAGCTCCCATGTGACATGACCTCCTTTGTATAGGTGAGGCAATTTGAGCCACTTTGGTTGTGCAGATAAGCAGCATTTGATCTTAAGCCTGTTTCAATAACAACCCCTGGCTCCAGAATGTGCTGAGTCTCCTCCTCTCTAATGGAAAGTTGCTGTCACTGTTAACAGACCCAGATTTTGCATGTGTTTCTTTGAAACTGGTGTATCAGTGTGAGGACGTGATCTTCAACATTCCCTGCTTGCCTGGTGATACATCCTAATTTTCCTTACCTCGGCTGAATTGTTGTTTAATTTAGGTAATTGTGTGATCTCCTACTAAATGTCAGGTTAGGCCGCACCAGCGTGGGAGTGGAGATTCACTCTAGTCCAGCTATTTGCTGTTGAGTCCCAGAAGTAATTGATTGGTGGGTTTGGGGCCCTTCTCTTTAAAGGGGATAGAAAGGAGGAAATATGCATGCAGAGAGACTGGATGGGAAAGGGTTGTAGAATACTTTTGAACTGAAGCCCACAGTTGGAGGAAAGCTTTTTTTCTTTTTATTTGGCTGGTTTTGTTTTAAAAATGCTTTAGTTTTACCAGAAGGAAGATTCATTTCAGGGCTTATGTGTTGCTTTAAAAAAAGAATTGGACTGAAAACTGCTAGAAGTAACCTGTGCAGCTTTAGGAGGAATAGCCTACCCTGTAATGAGGAGGTGGCCAACCTCATTAAAGAGACTGAGAGTTGCATTCCCAGGATCTTGTGTGAAAACTCCCTCCCCATTAACTCAAGGCCCATTAAGGTAGATGAAAACTCTTTCTCAGGAAGATGCTGAACTAATTTTTGATTGGCTGACAGGCTGATAATGCTAAACGTTATGTCCTCGGGCTGCTGGCCAGAATTACACCCTCAGCCCACTAGCCTGCCTTGAAAGAAAAATAAGTCTTGTGTATCTTATTTCCAGTGAGAGTGTGGTGCTCACTAATAAAACTTTTTTTTCTTTTTTTGGACTGAGGCAGTTTTTGCCCATGTGATTTTGTGCAGTAGTAAATCTGTGTAGGAATTAGGTGTCCTGCCAACCATGTTTATACAGCATCATAGTGATCAGCCTTCCTAATTCCCTGCGGGTTAAATTGCCATGTAGGTGGAGTAGTGGAGTTGCAGTAAGAACATTTCCCCCTGCATACCAGGAGAATGAACATTTGGAGGCAGAGAAACATGATTGCAGGTATGTGAGTATTTCAGGATCCTGCAGAATTAATGGCAATCACAAATTTTAAATGAAGATTTTCGTACAATGTGATGCAGTATATGATGCCACTAGGAGAAAAGCTGTGTTCTACTTAAAAGTAGATTTTACTAAATGACAGTAATGAAGTACATTTTTTTAATGTTTCCTTTTTTAAAGTGGCGGAACTAGAAATCTTTAAATGGGGGCAAATGAGGGGCAAGAGGTCCAGGCAGGGTGGCACATACCTGTTAGGTAAAGCATGTAAAAATATGTAAATAGAGTCAACAAAATATCCACAAAACTATTTATTGTATCATTATCGTCATTATCGGGTCTAAGAAAACAAAGATTGTAGGTAGGTTTACACAATTAGTTTTAGCCATTCAGACTTAAAGAGCCTCGTTCAGGAAATGTGATCCCCGGAATTTGTCTGAAAACGCCATCATTTTCAGTGCAGGTCTTTTAGCTTACGTAAAATTTTCCTGCAGCTCTATCGCTACAGGCTATTCTCATGTAGGATCTGTCTGCTTCTTCCACCACTGAAGCCTTATCATGATCTCAATACCGGCGTCGCGCTGTTTTAATGGATAGCCGTCTGATTTATATTCTTTGCTGACCTTTGTTCAGCGCTAGGGGACGCCAGAGCTCAGAATTGTAATGCTGAATAAGGACCCTGCAGCTAAAATTTAAATCACTGTTTTCCTCCTATTTTACACTCAGCCAACTGTTCTTTCCAGTGTCAGATGATAGTTTCCATAAGAAAATATTAACCACTGCCAGACTATCCGGGGAGGGTGGGGGGTGTTCTGTGTGTCCAGCGGTGCGTTAACCCTTGTTGCAAAGTGTTGCGTAAAGGTCAACAAACACTGCCTGTGGCACCACTGAAGACTGTTCCCATAAGTCATGGACATTTCAGCTGTAAATGCTCTTTCTTACGAGGATTTTGTGAACACTTTCGGTAACGTGGTGGAGAAATGTCCTGTTATAACAGCCGCTGTGTGGTCGAGGCGTCCGTTTGTGAGTTTAAATGCTCTGGAGGCTGCCATCAGTGACTTCATCGACGAGCTCCCAGAATCAGGTGATCCACGGAATTAGTTTATTAACATTTCTACCCTGTGCTCGGGTTAATTTTTACGCGTTTGTTTAATAAGTAGGCTTGTATCAGTTTAATGCTCTAAACTGGCAGAAATGATCGGTTGTATGTGCAGGTAAAGAGGGGATCCTAAGGTGTCACCCCGATCTGGCCGGCAGGGACCTGCAGAGGGGCACCTTGACCCGGGAGTCGCGCCAGGAGCAGGCGGGAGCCGGAATGGACGCGCTGACCTCGGGGGAAGCCGAGCGCATGGCCCGTCTCAACGAGGAGTATAAAAAGCGCTTCGAATTTCCATTTGTCATCTGCGCCCGGATGAACGACAAAGCGAACATCTTGCTGCAGCTGTCCGAGCGCTGCCAGAACGAGCGCGCAGTGGAGAGAGCGCGCGGCATCGAGGAGGTGAAGAAGATCTGCCGCTTGCGCCTCCAAAGTCTGCTGCTTACTGATGGCGCGAACAAATTATGAAGTGCCGGAGGTTGAGTTTTGCGCCAGTTTGCCTCTAAACCTCATCACTCCCAGGCTCAAAGGTTGTGGTATATTTCAGTTCTGAATGTATCCATAAAATCTCAATCAATAAAACATGTGGATCATTGATTCTAATTAACAATCTCCATAATACAGCTTAGTGTATATACAAGTGTACACTGATGTATGGAAAACAACAGCACTGATAATCATGTCTGTGGTCCGCTGTCGGGAAAGGAGTTCGTGAATTTGTTGTCTCCGCGTGCCATCTGGTGTTGAACCTATCTCAGAGGATGTTTGGCGATGAAGAAACGTCAGTAAATAAGTCCTGAATCAACAGACTGTGGACTCCAGTCAGGGGGCTTATGGTGGTCCAAGAGAAATTTCTGAAGGGTCCCTGTAAACGAGCACTTTACAGAAATATCCCCCCACCCCTAAATACCATCAATCTTTTCAGAAAAAAAATATATGTACATGTTTCCTAAAACTTGGATTTGAGTTTCAGTCAAAGTTAAAATGATCCCTTAAATATGAGTTCAGGTCTGAGTCTTAAAAATCTTAAAGTCTTAAAAATATATCCGCTGGATCTATGCGCTCTCTCTGGAGCCGGAGGCAGACAGACCGTGCAGAGGGGACACGGGGGGTGTGGTGGGGTGTGGTCCGTTTGAGGAGGAAACCCCTCCAGCGGCCTCCCCCTGGTCTCCAGAGGTGATGGAGGAGTCCTGGTCGGGGTCGGCCCCCCTCGCCCTCCTCCGGTCCTCCTCCTTCTTCCACTTCATGCGCCTGTTCTGGAACCAGATCTTGATGTGGCGCTCGGTGAGGCTGAGGGTCAGCGCCAGCTCCACGCGCCTCGGCCTCGAGATGTAGCGGTTGAAAAGGAACTCCTTCTCGAGCTCCAGCAGCTGGGCGCGCGTGTACGCAGTCCTCGTGCGTTTGTTTTCTTCATTCTCAGTCATCACGTATGACCCTAAAACCACACGGAGAATTAGCGCCCTTTAAAAACAAGAATATGTAATAAAAATGAATTTTTATTAAAATCTGAAGCACTTCAAGTGTAAATTTACATTTTTAATTGTAAACTATGAAAAGTGTTTTTTATTCATGTAAAAAATAAATCTTGAAAATGAATGTAAAGAAGAATCTCCAGCCACTCTTTATTTAACCAGTACTAACCAAATACTTGGCCAAAAAACAGGTGATTATTACGGGGGGTTATTCAAACAGGTGTAATTTAGATTTTAGGGATGAAGATTATTATAGATTACTTGTTTTAGAGATTAAATTAACATTTCCTTCAAGGACAAAACATATTTCCCAGTGCACGTGATCACCCAGAGCTGAAATTAAAGCAGATTAATTACTGTGCATATCATAAACCACAACCAGGAAGTATTTGCTACAGTCACTGAAAACTGTATATAAGTTTTAATTTTTTTTAAAGTATTTTCATATTGTTGAAGATAAAGACCGAAACAATATAAGTTTTTAGACGCCTTAGAAGAATCCATTGACCGCTTCTTTAAAATAAATGAATTAATTAATTACGACTGTTAAAAAATGATCTCTTCCATTTTCAATTATATTTTTTTACATTTAAAACAGTCAAGTAAAAAACAAAGATTTAAAATATTATAGAAAAGTAATTCTTGTCTTTATTTGCACGTTATCAGTCACGCATCAGTTAGTTTGAAGAGCTTCTACAGCGTTTTATTTTACCCGAGGACCCTAAATTCCCTCATATAATTTGTTCATTTTGAACATCAATACAAGAAAGACTATTCATTCATTTATGACGTTGAATGTGCAGCTAAATTTGTATTTAATACGTTCCAAATAATAATAATAATAATAATAATAATAATAATAAATACTGCATTTAATATACATTTATTTTCAAAGTGAAACTGAAATACGCCATCATGCAGACTATTTTTTAAATAGATTTACATAGTCAAGTTGTTAGAAATTAATATGAATCATGTGAAGCCACTGATTATAATTATTGCCTATTTGTAAGGCACTAATTTAGAGTTTCGATTCTGGGCATCATTCCCGTTACCGTCGTTCATGCTGATTTTAAAAACTTTTGTTTTTTTTTTAAGTTCATAGTAACTGTTTCAAAATGTCATATATAATAAGTTTACACTGTCCATTAAGTATCTCAGAATAATAAAACAACGTGGGCCTGCTATATCAGAGTGTAAGTTATTCAGTTTCGACTTTATGAGAGTGGCTCGTTCATACATGACGCTTCTATTGAGAGTTCTTTAGGAGAGAGAATCAGAAGAAATGTTTTCTGGGAATTTCATTCTGATGTAAGAAAAGTACGAGAACTTTATTTGCTTTTTTTATTTTAACCAAAATGGGGTTTTTTCCTAACGACGACACTGCTTTTACGCAAACTCGCTGCACGTAAAGCCTCTCCAAGTTTGTTGAAATTCAGTCCACTGAAAACTCTTCCCTAAAAAATACTTTCCTTAAAAAGTTCATTACATGTTAGAGTTTCTTTTTTGTTCCACGTTATCAAGACCACATTAGAATTACAAACGACTTGGCAATATAAAAGACTATTATTAGGCTGCTCGTGGCTAAAGATAGCGTGATTTGTGAAAATGTTTTTGTACAAACAAAACTCACATTTTTGTGACGATAATACCTCATATGAAGCAACCGCTCACCTCCCGGGCCTTTTACAAAAATGACTGACAGGTAAACTGAAACACCCAGGATCGTATTGTTGGGGCCATGATGTCATTAAAGGCCTCAGAAGGAGTTAGTTGAAAGTTATTTGTTATGTAGCTAAATTGTGCAAACATGACTGTCTCATATTTTAATTTGAAGCCCTCTTTGAACTCAAATTAAGAACTTTAGTCAGATTCTGTAGTACGCTCATAATCACACTGTATACGCTGATTTGTTTGAGTGTTTACCTGCCCACTGTCCTTTCCAGGTGTGTGAGTGGGATTTAGTGGTTTTCATCCAGGGGAATGGCAGGTGATATCTGCTCTGTTCCACAGGGTCACTGTAGCCTGGAGGCGGCTGGAGCGTCTGCTGTTGCTGCTGGTGCTGGTGGTGGTGGAGGAGCTGGGGTACGCCAGGTTCCTCCCGCATACTCGGCAAACTGTAAGTGGTAGCAATGTCAGGAAGGCCGGCCTGCTCCAAGGCTCCCATGGACGGCGGTGTGTAGACGGAGTGGACCTGCCTGCTCATGTAGAGGCAGGGTGGCGGGCTGCTGTGGCTGTAGTCATCACCCTGTGATCTCTGGTACGTGCAGGAGTCTTTAAAAACCTGAGAGGGATAAAAGTGATCTTCCCGATTCATGGCTGGCGAGGACCCGTGTCTGCAGGGGGGCCGTTTGCGTACACACACGCACCGTAACCTGCGCCCTACCTCGGCGTAAACCTTCAGCCCTACCTGCCTCAGGCGCAACTGCGAGGCCCTTACTGCTCCACACAGGTGTGTCACTCTGCCACCATGTGATCCTGTAGCGCCCAAGCCATTGGTTTCACTATTTGCTCAAAAACGGCAGGCCGATAGCTCCCAGTTTCCAGGATATTCTGCAGCTCTGTGAGCTTTTTTTTTCCAGCCAACTGAACAAGAGCGCGTAAATCAATGGTACTCTGTAAATACCGCAAGGTTTACCTGGCATCCACCTGTGTCTGACCCCAACAGCAGCAGCAGCAGCAACAACAACAAAAACAGGTGACCGTGCAACTGCTCCTTCCACATGTGGGGCAAAAGAGGGAGTTATTAATCAAGAGCGTCTGGAAGGAGCACGAATCTCACGCAAGGCAAGCTGGATTGTCCTCAAACAGCACAGCCATCGACATTTTATATGGATATATCTCTCGTGTGCACACTGAGGTTGATAAATCGATACGTATGGGCGCAAACATTGGTTGACCCGCCAGATAAGAGACGTGGATGGAGAAACAGTTGTCTTGGAAACTCTGGCGAAAAGCTCAAACACCACACACAGCCCACTTTTTTCATTTATCTGCTTTTCCCCCCTCTAACGTTTAAAACGCGCCCATTATACTTTTGTAAATGCATCATTTAACACCATTTCGCACGCATGGACCCACGATCTCCGCACGCAGGTATCTTGGCGACAACAAACAAGAGCTCATGCGGCCACTTCGCTCGCTGCACTCTCGCCGGTGTTTGCTGGTCATTAGCCTTCAGCGGCGGCGTGTCCTCGCGCCATTAAATCAATTAGGCTGGAGTGACTGGACTGAACTCAATTAACAGCCGTGCGCGTGGAGCGTGTCTCCACAGCCTTCGAGCTCTCCGGTGTCGGCTTTACGCAACGCGGAGACGAACGCGATTTACTTATTTTTCAGGAAAAATTACAGGAAGATCGGGCTTTTACCTCGCTGGTGTGTATCAATAGACCGTATTTGCCCGGAGTTCTTCAGAAGCAATTATGCCACTTTCGACTGTATCTTAATGGGGCACTCAGCGATGCAATAAAGTTCAAGTAAACCAATTCTACACAAAACACCGCCTGCACTATGGCTTAATGGTGTTTATATTTGATTATTGTTTCAAAGAGGAAGGAAACAGTTAACCAGAGCCATTCTCCTCTACAGTGGAGACAACGTGATTTATGAAGCATGATGCGCCTCAGATGCACTTTAGCCAACTTTCAAGCTGCAGATTTTTTTTCCCCTTATGTAATGGCCTAAGCGAGGAGTGACACACGGCTGTAATTGAGCCGTGTGTAATCAGGGCCAAAGAGCTTGACATTTGTCACGTTTATATAAGGCTGTGAAACAGTAAAAAATAAAAAGGAGGCTAAATGGAGAGGACACTGAAGGCTTCGGCAAACGTCCACCCATCCTCAAACCTTACAAAAGGTGAAAATACTGTATGTGTTAAAGGGTTAAAATACTTCACTGCCACACATAATCCTCTGGAGACCACTGAACCACAAGCACAGGCACATGTAGGAGTGTCGGGAAAACAAAGTTTTTTTTCCTCTCTCCTTTGACAAACAAAACCCTTTGTGATAGCTGGTGTATACATGTCAAAAAGTTGGACAGGCGATAACATGTGCTTACCTAGTGGCGACTGCAGCGTGGCCTATGTAAACATCATGGCTAGTGAATAATAACAGAAAAATGGTAATGACATTATGATTGAAACAAAGCCTGCTCTTATGGGCGAAGCATAACTGCATCAAACTATGATGAAGAGAATGAAGAACATAAACGTGTGGGATGTGTTATTCAGACAAAAGTTTACTGGGGGGAGGGGGGGCAGCAACTGAACCCATCATGAGAGACAATTGTCCACCTTTACAATCCGGTGTAACAAGAACTTAAAGTTTCGTGTAGCTCATTCTGAGCAAAGTCAGCAGATCCTCTCAGGTTTAAGTCCACACACACAGTTGGGCTATTTTAACTCGTGGAGTTTGTGTGTGTGTGCGCGTCTTTGTCTCGGCTCGGTCTATCAGTGCGTCTCCGTTCTCTGTCGCCTCCGTGGCGTCTGTCTTTGTCTCTATCCAGCTTCTTATCTCTGTCTCTGCGGCCGTCCCTGTGATGATGTTTATGATCAATGTGGCCTCCATTACTCTTGTGATCTCTGGGAGGCGTCCTGCTGCGGCCTCTGTCTGGGGAATCGCTCCTCAGGCGCCCCCTTGCGGTGGAGTGTCCGGCTCCGGGCTCGCCAGTGCGGCGCTGCAGGCCGGTGGAGCGCAGCGTGTTGAGGAGGAAGCGTTTGTTGGTGCTTCGCAGAGGACATTTCAACCTGAAAGAGAAGTGAAGGACACGAGGTTAGTTAGACATGTTACACTTACCCCTGCGACCATTAGAGAGACAGATGGATGGTCGTCACTGAGGTCAGAGCTAATAACCGCCACACAGGACTCACAGGACAGATTCATCTTTAAAAGTCCTCGCAGACAGAGCTGCAGCCACCGCTGAGGATACTGAGTGTTTCTGCTCTTTCCGCCTTTGAATCCTCATGAAACTGATTAAAAGCTGGCAGTATTTTATGGACTGACTCCAGCATTAAGCCTCCCTCAAAATCAATAAACAGTTCTGTGATTTTCCACACAGATTTTATCCTCAGAAATAGACATTAGACATCTCTTTGTGGTATTTCAAATATATATATTTTTAAAACTTAAAAACTCACACTCAGTGGCTTAAACTGGGTGATTTGGATTCATGACATCAGTGTCAGATTGTCATACAGGTTTAATTGAGATCAAAATGTTTTACAGCAAAAACTTGATGGAAAAAAATGACAATTTTAGTTTCAAGTTTGACTACTTTAAATGTAAATATCAGTGAGATAAAAAGTAGCAATAACTACACAATGCAGACAAGATCAAACATTCCAGGATTTGCCAGGACATCATGGTGTTTTTACATATTACCAAACTGGTTATATATGACCCTAGATTAGTTAGAGAACCTTATTAATGGCCTTAAAGCATGAACTCAGTGCAGAGAAAAGCCAAAAGCAAAGCAAACGTTTTTAAAACTGTATTTTTGCTAACAAGAAATTAATTGTCTCGCATGCTTGTTACACAATACCAAACATTTAACTACAGGCAAATTAATGGAAATAAACCCCCAATATAAAGCATTTTAGTAAGAGATCTAGTGACTGTGAAAGCCATGACATAAAATTTACATTTACATTCATATTTAAACCATTTAGTTCCCTGAGGATGGCTCCTGGAAGAGACGACTACCACCGGGATAGAACTTTTTCATCACAGGAGAAAGGCCATCGTTTAAAATCTTCATATTGACTTTCAATGAGGGGACAAACCATGCTAGGAGACTGCTCTCTGCCACTCAGGCACTTATCCACCAGTCGAGAATACGACCACTTGCTCTCAAATGTGCACTGTTCATTGTAATGAGGGATGAATGCAGTGCAGCTCTACTGTAATTGTTTTACAGTAGGGCGGTTCTTGGTGACAGTCTGATTACATCCTGCACTGACATCCTCATTCATCTGAGAAGGAGTTGCTCTTTACTTTTACTGGGTGCACTAATGCACGACCATCACTTTTATCAAATGTGTGCAGTCGACCACAGCTTCCAACCCCGTTTTACTGATGCCTTTCCCATTGATCTAAATAGCAGAGAGCAGCATGGGACCATAAATCTAAACACATTCAATGAAAAATCAATCAGTGCCTTCCATCTGTCCTCCTATCAGTATCAGATATTCTTTTTTTAGTACAATAACTTTATTGTATGTAATGAATCCATGCTTCCTCCTTCAAAATGAGTTACAGGCCCTCCGAGTACGCCTTTTTATAGTCTACAGTATTTCTCCAGAATTTTTGAATACTCACAACTTAGGAGGTGAAAAACAAATTGGAGCTTTGTTAAAAGCAGCAACCAAACCGATGTAACGCCTACTGCAAGTGTCAGGATCTGAAGTTTTAAAAAGGATATATTAGAGTTTCAAAAGCAAAACTGCACTAATTTAATATCTGTGCCATAGGATAACACAAGCAGGCCTTTATACCCTGTTTTCTTTTCTTTATCTGTTTTTTGGTCCAAAAAAAAAAAAAAAAAAAAGCACTTGGGTCAATTTTAAATGTCAGATTGGAGGCAGGTCAAAACAAGATATATCATTTACCTACATTTTTACACTGGGGCCACCTTCTCCTTTGAAATCAAAATCATTTTCTAACACAGTCATGATTTAATACTACTTTCACTCTCACAGATTTTAAATTTGTGCAGTTTTGCTATTGAAGCTCGGATATATCCCATAATATTGATGCTCAAAGTTTGCTCAGGGGCTATAGAAAAACACATTACACTGCCTCTACTATGAACATCCTGTCTAAGATCATTAAGGACAGCGTAATGGGTATGTGTGTCTATTTTAACTTTCACTTCAAATTAAAATAAGTTTGTATTTGATGCATCTTATTTGTATGCACTGCTCAGGGAGATGCTCCGAATGTCATTGTGCACCTGTACAGAGACAAATACATGCATTCTCTCCTATTGTAGGATGTGACATTTTGAGCAGGCGTAAAGTTTATATGGTTGCACTTTTTAAACGGAGTATAAATGAAATTAAAGGTTCATTTTACGTAGATATATTTTGTAGAAGAAGTTATGAGGGCTTAAGACGGTAGAAGAAATAAGCCAAATTAAAAAGTGCCAAAATCTGACCCACTCATGTCCTCTTTGAGGGACTGCAACACTCAAAATTTTCATTCTGAAGGTAACATTTTGGCTTTATTAACCACACTAAATTTAAAAAAAATAAAATAAAATATATATATATATATATATATATATATATGTGTGTCTGTGTGTGTGTGTGTGTATTTTGTTGTTTTAGTATGGAATGGCCCTGCTCTCACTTTACTCACTCCTCCTGCTGAAACACCAGGAGTTGTGTGACTGTCACATAGATACTTTTTCCCATTATCCCATTACTTAGATCATAATCTGAATCAGCAGGACCTGCCTAGGATTTTCCTACATGTTATGGATGCCAATTACTTAACATGTAGTGTTAAGTAATTGTGGTGCACCTTCGACCTTCAGTCATTTTTATTTGTCCTCCCTGTTCACACTGGATTAAAATTTGAGGTGGGTGGATCAATCCAAAGATAGTATCGATAGTATTGATACCAACACTGGTTTAGACACATACTAGCACAATAGGAACGATGCTTTGCTTCTATCCTCTAAGTTCAGTATGTAGCCCAGGGAATTGCTTTAAATCATTTTTTAGTGAAAAATATATTTCAGGCATGCACTATAAAAAAATTACAGGAATCTTTTTTAGTGTTAACCTCCACATCAATTTTATTTATAGCTTATAACACATTTAAGCTAGAGAATCTAACCTAGCGTGCTGCAGAGACAGGCACATTTACACTGCAAGTCTCCAAAAAACCCAATGCCACAAAAAGCTAAAAGATGCATTTTTATGTGTTAACTAATTGTAGTGAAAAGTAACAATCACAGCGATTTAATGCTCATTAAATCTGTTGCAAATGAATGACGATTCATTCATTTTCCTTTACAAGTTAAAATTAACAGTATTGGTAGGGCTGCACGATTAATCGTTAGAAAATCGCGATCTCGATTCATACTTATGTGCGATCTCATTTCCAAATGACAACGATTTAAAAAAAAAAAAAAGAAAAAAAGAAAAAAAAGATGATGACGATTGTACCGCATTTTGATCCGGGACGTAATCTGCATGAAAACAAGCGCTCACTCTTCCTGCTCAACAAAAGACAAGGGCGAACATGATGTTCTTATGTTTCAGGTACATGGGCCAGACGTGGCCGTCAAAAAGGCTAGGTGGGTCTGGTACCAGGTAGTTTCTTGAGCAGAAGCTGTGCCATGTGATGCTAAAATTAGCAGGGAAAAAACAACGGAGAGCACGTCAGGGATGACGAGAAAGTGACAGGAGAAAATCCGTCCCGGTCAACCACCCAAACATCAATAACGGGAACCTTATACAGCGCTTCCCTATACACGTCGAACTCCCGCAGGCACAAAGAAATTACGGAGGCTCTTACATATCACCTGACCAAAGATATGGCTCCCATCAACACTGTGCAAAACGAGGGATTTAGGAAAGTGATCAACGCCGTAGACAAACGCTACACAGTGCCGTCCCGCAACTATTTTTCTATTGTTGCACTACCTGCTCTATACACGCAGTGTCGAGCAACGGTGGAGACGGAATTTCAAGCAGTACAACATTTTGCGGCAACAACAAAACGTGAGACATTAGTTGGTTTTATGTTTATTTATTGTTTTTATGTTCAGTCTCAACTGTTACGAAGTTGATGTGCAGTTAATAAGTGCAATAAATATTTATACTGGAAATATTTATACTGGAATTTAGACTGTATACTGGAATTATTATACTGGAATTATACTGGAATTTATACTGTATACAATAAATATTTATACTGGAAAAGAAAATCGTGAGAGAATCGCGATCTCAATTCTAAGCCAAAAAATCGTGCAGCCCTAGGTATTGGTATCGGCAATACTCGCCGTCTATGTACCTGGTATCAGATCGATACCAAAAATCTGCAGTATCGCACACTACTGCAGCCATTTTCATTAGTTCAAGTGCAATGCACACATTATGTGAGGCTCAACTACCAAGCTTTCTTACTAAAGCAGATAAGTAAGAGTCAGACAGATGGCATGTCAGACACTGTGCTCACCATCCTGCAGGGCCCATGGTCTCTGCTCTCACGCGGGCTCTGTCAGTCTCCCTGAGGAGCTCCTCCACTGCACGCCTAGATGGATAAATAAAGAGGAAAAAACGTCAAACACTGTTCACGTGAAGGGGAGGGAAAATGAGAAGCCGAGGACAAAGATGGCGCAAATCCTCAAGGGGGAGCCAAGGGGAGAATAATCTAATTAAGTGAGAGAAAACGGAGTGATGCGGAAGAGAAAGTGAATCATCAGGAGCAAAAGGGGAACAGTGTCCTGGTTTGACACGAGCTGCTGAATCGGCACAATCCCAGCAGAGGAGACCCGCTGATCTACTTTTATACAGGACAGGGAGCTCATGGTGTGTGCCACCACGAAGGCATGCTTTCCATACAATCACAAGCTCGTCTAACAACACAATAAATGAGCATCTTTTTTTTTTTTACCGACGGAGCGTTGTTACAGATTTAGAGGAAACCTGCGTTCACCAGTGCGCAAATACCAAGTGAGGACAAATATTAACACGCTACATACTTTTCCAGCTCATTATCTTCTGCCATCGCGATCACACGCAAACTTAATTGCGGTAAAATCGATGGATGGTCGTTAATTAACCCAACATCGCTTGTTTACCTCCTCGCGAGGTCCTCCGACCGAGGACCCCGATGATTTTTGGTGCCCTGAATAATGCCCGATCATTTTTAGCTTCACCTTCCACCCGTTTCTCTTTTTATGTTTTCTACCATCTCCCAAATAACTTTCTTGGTCAGTAACCGACTAAATCGTTATAATAAAAAAAAAAGAAATCATGATATTTCAGTATGGGCTCATTTTATCACACAGTTAACAAAATGTACCCGTTTAGGAAAACGAAAGCGATGCCGTAGTGGTTATTTTTAATTCCCCATTTTACGGTAAACTGGTATAAAGCTGCTGTGTGCATCAAAAATATTAGCTTAACTTAAGAAGTTGGCAGTGTTTTTGTCGTCATTATTTCTGACCATCAACCGACCTAAATTCTGGTGAGGTTTCTTTATTTCATTGCACTGCTTGGTGAATGTTATACGTCATGGGAAAGGTTTTTTTTTTGTGCTAATTAACTATTAACATCTCTCAAAACTTGTTGAGAAAGGGAGACACTGTCATCTTTAAAAGCGGCATTTATCCAAAACTGAAAGCTGTAATATTAAGTTTCACTTATTATTTAAAATAAAACTAAGTCATGTTAATAAGTTTTAATCTCACGCCCCCTTTAAGCCTTTATAACAGTAGTCTACAATGTAACCAGTAATCTTCAAAAAGAATAACTTACAGTATGAATACTTTTATTTATTTACGTTTTTATGTTTGTTCCATGTATTTATTTATTTATTTATTTATGTATATGTAGTTACTTATAAATCTTGCATATATATATATATATATATATATATATATATATATATATATATATATATATATATTAGTTATATATATATATATATAGTTATATGTGTTTATTCGTGTATCGATTTACCTATGTTTGTCTGCGTTACAAATGTATACAGTTATCTATTTATTTTGATGTGTTTGCTGACTTATTAGAATTTCTTTTATACATAAATATATTTAAACACATTTTGTTTTCTTATTTATTTATTTGTCTATTTGTTTTTTAATTATGTATTTACGAAAAGGCGGTCTTAAAGCCAACCCCTAGCTCTCCTCTGGATTGACAACCGTATGCCCCGCCCACTCGGTTTTGACGGACAGCAGTGGGCGGGGTCAGCGCTGCCAAAGGCACGGGGGCGTTTTCGTGCGGGTTTTGCGGAACGGTCCGTTGCGGTGGATGCGTGATTGAGGTCCCGCGGCTAATAATCACCCCCCTTTTTGGGGCCGGAGTGCACGGCGCGGAGGAGCCGCCGGAAAAGGTAACGTCACATCACATCTGCCTGCGCGAGCGGTGTCAGTGTGTGGCTGGCTTTGCTTTCTATGCTGCTGTCGCCTCATCGGTCCCAGGTTTTTCCGCTTGTGGGGAGGGTGGGATGGAGTCAGACAGATGGGGGGCAATGATTAAAAAAAAATTCTGATATATGTAAGTGTGTCGGGCTTGCGTATTTGATCATGACACTGCAGTGGGAGCGCTCCCAAGGTAGATCAGGTCTATGCCAGAAAAAAATTATTGTACATGTAAATTAAATCAGTGTCATTTTTTTGTTATCTTTGTGTGTCTGGGTGGTGTGGAGGGGGGTGGTTTAAGAAAAAAAGGCAGCCTATTGCAACAGACCTTGCAGAACAGCAGCAGCAGCAGGCCTGTTCCTGCAAGTGGCTACCAGAGCCTTTTTTTTAAGATAAGAGAGATGGGGTTTTATGAAAATGTAGGCTAAGCCGAGAGGACCTGAGATTTTAAATCTGTGGCCTAAAACATCATTTCATCTTCTTTGAAAATGTAATTCCTGCACACTGGACTGTCGTGTCCTGTAAGATTAGATTGTCATTTCGAACAATAACCAGAGAGACAAGAGTGTTATTTACTGAAATGGAAAGCAGTGCAATGACAATAACAGCCCGGCCTTGGACTCTCATACACACATGTACACACACACTGTGTGGTGGGATTAAAAGAGATATTCTACAAGCATTTGCCAGTCTTCATATTGCTTGTATAAAGGAATCCGTTGCAACAGCTCTGTTTAAAACACATTTAAGTGCTTTTCACTGCTCTGAAGTGCCGTCACAGTGAAAACACGAAGACTTTACTTATTGATAAAGACCATTCACAGGTACCTAAAAACGCCCTTGTGCTCGACATGCGTGTTTGCTTTTGGTTGTGTAGACTTACGCTCGCATGTCTACGCGTATATGTGTGTTTATATGTGTGTTTGTTTGTGTGTGTGTGTGATGTGGTGATGTCACAGCTTTGTTATAGAAACAGAGAAGCCTTGTGTCCTCATGATTAATTCATGTCCAGCTGCGGGATAGAGACAGAAGCAGCCAGTCACACGCAGACAAGAGGAGCACGTACTTAAAGGAGGCTGAAATAAGTAACTACCGGTGGGGTGGCCAAGGAGACAGGAGGGACAGGTTGTCACAAGGAAAAAAAAAAGACCCAGACGAGATGAAAAGAGCAGAAAAAAAAACGACTCAAGGGGACTCTCATCATCATCGTCTGCGCTGTCTGACAAGCTTTCAGGCTGTACCGAGGAGGAGCAGAGCATCCTGCTGAGAGGAGTGCATCTGTTGTGTGGCTCCTCTGCATCCTTCTCTGGCTACACTCTGAATGTCAAGCCCCACTGAGCAGAACGGGATCCAGGTCGTCATGGAGACAGGAGCAGACCCTCGCTGGAACAGAGGCAGGTAGTCACTGTATCTTGGCTGGCCCGCTGAGCGTAGAGGCACGCCCTCTGCTGTCGGCTGATAGCATCTGGCCCCTTGGAGGCTGGGCTAATAGAAGGGCCGAGGGGGTCTGAGGGGCTTTGGATGTGAAGCGCTGTGGAAATGATCAGCGCACACTGTGGTGCATTAGCTCTGGGGACACGCTCTGCTCGCTGGAGTGCTATATTTCAAGACTTTGCTTTGGGCGTGTTCTTTTTCCGTTGTAGAGGAGACTGAGTTCATCTACTGTACCCAGCCTGAACCAAAAATATCAAGCGTTTTCCTTGGCTTCGCCCCCCTTCCTTTCATCCTCTCTTCCATTCCATATTCTTATTCTTCCCTTGTACCTGTTTTCACATCCCATTGATCTCTTCTTCTTTTTCTTCTTCCACCTGTCTACACTCCCTTCCGTATCTTGTCGGCACCACTTTCCTTTTCTGTTGCTTTCCCAAGCTCACTTTCTCTGATCTGTGCCCTCTTTCTGCCTCAATCCCAGATAATTCCCTCTCTGTGGAATTGGAAGATTGGAGCAGGCGAGAGCAAAAGAGAGATTATACTGCCAGATTAGTGGACAGAAGCAGCAATACATAATCTCAGCAGTGACATAAACGTGCACACACACACACACACACGCGGTGTCATCCTCAGTCTCATGCAAACACGTGGGCACACGTGCACAAAGTATTTGCCACATGAATAAATGCCCAACACTTGTTGTCTTGTTTTTTTTTCTGAAACAGCTGTTTAACTCTCTTGTTTTGGCCTCTGACCCACAGGGTGATGTGCCATCAGCCACTGGGGGGCATTTGTCCTCTCCGCCACCTGTTCAGCCTCTGAAGCTTATGGGATAGGAGTGTGTGCGCCCCTTCCCAACCGCTCTGCATCCCAGCTGGACTCAGTCGTGCCAAAGCTGAATTGCGTTGAAGGAGAAGACATGGGCAGCCCGGGCTCCGAGGTGGGTCTGGCTGGGTCCGTGGAGCCAGCTCTGGAGGCTCTGTGTCCCGAGTGTGGCCAGATCCACCGCAGCTGGGAAAACCACCTTTACAACTACCGTCTGGAAGTGGACGACGATCTGGTGTGCCACATCTGCCTGCAACCGCTGGTGCAGCCTCTCGATACGCCATGCGGACACACCTTCTGCGCCCGCTGCCTGCGTAGCTTCCTCCAGGAGAGGGACTTCTGCCCTCTGGACAGGACCCGGCTGCAGCTGCAGGCATGCCGCAGGTCCAGCATCCTGGTGCACAAGCTGCTGGACAAGCTGTCTGTGTCCTGCCCTTTGACCCCTGTCTGCTCCCTCAGCATGCCTCGCTGTGACCTGGAGGCGCACCTTAAACACAGGTAATAAAGCTTTTATGCAGACAGATGAATGCATGAGATCATTATGACACCGTGCATGCAGTCAGGATTTCATGAGCTTAGCTTCTCAGCTAACAAAGCCACCAGGCGATCGGTTGAACATCCTTTAGTAATAACCACAAGCAGCATTCAGGGCCAATCCGTCCTTGTGATTGGCTTGTTTTTCAGCTGAACCAGTGGAGATATCACAAATCAGAGTCCGCATCACATAGACTTACCCACCATTCTTAACCTTAAAGGTCTCCCCCATCCCGTGCACACGCTTTGGCTTTTGGCCCGTTTGGACCAGGTGCTGTGAGACCCTGCAGGGATTATTGGGCTGTAGGTCATGTGACGGGGGATTAGTGATTCCCTTTCGACAGTCATGGGTTGGCTGACCAGGAGCCTTCGTGTTCTCATTCTGCAACCATGCTGAGCAACTTCAACACCAGAGATCTTTTCAACCACTTCTTCTGTGAGACAGCCAAGGGCAACCCCGGCCTGTGGTGAGTCGAACGCAGTGGGGTGTGAGGTCAGCGTGACTCAGAATGACAAAAAGACATTATTTACTCGCTGGTTTCCACTGTTTTTGTTATTTCAGTCTGTATCTCGGTTTGCTTTGCCTCTTACTCTCTCTGTCCTGCTTCCTCTGTTGCCATGTCTTGCACTGAAGTGCACGATTACGTGTGCATGCATCGGTGTCAGGCTGTCATTGCTGCTTCAAGGATGTAATTCGTGCAGTATGTGATGATGTGTTTGTGCCTGGTTAAGGCATTAAAACCAGTGCTCTTGATCTTTAAGCAGACTCCTTTCTAGTTGAATTTTGACGTTGGTTTGTTGACTGGTTTTTCACTGTCCTCCTAACACCTCGATTAAGTTGAGGAGATTTTCCTTAACAAGATCAGGGTAACAGACTATCACTTACAGTCCTTTAAAAGCTTTTCTGAGTCAGCTGTTTTTCTATAAAAGAA